GGTCCTCGTGGCAGAGAGGGCTGGCTCAGTAGCGGGTGTGATGGGAAAGAGCCCAGGTTTTGCAGCGGGATGGAATTGCTCTGTGACTTGCAAGTTGTTCGATTTCTGAGGACTGATTTCTCTCAGACTGGATTTCTTCATGTATATATTGGAGCTAATAGTGTCTACCCTTTCGTGCATTTAACGAGGACTTTGAGTTCACTGAGAAGCAGAGCAAAACTGTAATGGAAAGAGCAAGGACAGGGGACAGGCAGAGCCAGAGCAGAGTCCTGCTTTTGCAACTAACCGTATTTCATTAAATCTGAGATGTCACAGATTGCAAGAGAAGCCATCATCTTATGTACCCTTAAGAAACAGCACTGCCGGGGCGCCTGGGTGGCTCAGTTGGTTGAGCGACTGCCTTCGGCTCAGGTCATGATCCTGGAGTCCCGGGATCGAGTCCCGCGTCGGGCTCCCTGCTCGGCAGGGAGTCTGCTTCTCCCTCTGACCCTATCCCCTCTCATGTGTTCTCTCTCTCTCATTCTCTCTCTCTCAAATAAATAAATAAAATCTTTAAAAAATAATAATAATTAAAAAAAAAAAAAAACAGCACTGCCAAGGGGCACCTGCCTGACGCAGACTCAGCAGAGTATGTGACTCTTGATCTCAGGGTCATGAGTTCAAGCCCACATTTGTGCGAAGCCTATTTAAAAAAAAAAACTGCCAAATTCTGACACAATTTCTTATCTCTTTGCATTGTATTTTATAGTTAAAGATCTCTTCCAGACTTGGGGCGCCTGGGTGGCTCAGTTGGTTGGGCGACTGCCTTCGGCTCAGGTCATGATCCTGGAGTCCCGGGATCGAGTCCCGCGTCGGGCTCCCTGCTCGGCGGGGAGTCTGCTTCTCCCTCGGACCCTCCCCCCTCTCATGTGCTCTCTTTCTCATTCTCTCTCTCTCATTCTCTCTCTCTCAAATAAATAAATAAAATCTTTAAAAAAAAAATCTCTTCCAGACTTACTGATATTTTGACAGACTTATTTTTTATTTTTTTAAAGATTTTATTTACTTATTTGACCGAGAGAGAGCACGCACAAGCAGAGGGAGCAGCAGAGGGAGAGGGAGAAGCAGGCTCCCCGCTGAGCAGGGAGCCCAATGTGGGGCTCGATCCCAGGACCCTGGTATCATTATCTGAGCCGAAGGCAGACGCTTAACTGACTGAGCCACCCAGGCGCCCCTTGACATAGACTTTTATTATATCACTCTTTTTTTTTTCTAATTCAAGATTGAATTTTTAATTTTTTAATTTTTTTTCAAATTTTTATTAAATTCTAGTTAGTTAGCATATAGTGCAATATTGGTTTCGGGAGTAGAATTTAGTGATTCATCACTTACATAGAACACCCAGTGCTCATCACAACAAGTGCCTTCCTTAATGACCTTCACCCATTTAGCCCATTCCCCCCACACCCATCCCTCAACCCTGTTTGTTTCCCTATAGTTAAGAGTGTCTTATGGTTTGCGTCCCTTTTTTTTCCCCTTCCCCGATGTTCATCTGTTTTGTTCCTTAAATTCCACATATGAGTGAAATCATATGGTATTTGTCTTTCTCTGACTGACTTACTTCACTTAGCATAATACATTCTAGCTCTATCCATGTTGTTGCAAGTGGCAAGATTTCATTCTTTTTGATGGCTGAGTAACATTCCATTATATATATACACACACACACATACATACATATATACACACATACCACATCATTTTTTTAAAATTTTTTTAAAGATTTTATTTATTTCACAGAGAGACACAGCGAGAGAGGGAACACAAGCAAGGGGATTGGGAGAGGGAGAGGCAGGGTCCCCGCTGAGCAGGGAGCCCGATGCAGGGCTCGATCCCAGGACCCTGGGACCATGACCTGAGTCAAAGGCAGAAGCGATTGAGCCACCCAGGCGCCCCATACTACATCTTCTTTATCCATTCATCAGTCGACGGACATTTGGGCTCTTTACATTATTCGATTATTGTTGATAATGCTGCTTATAAACATTGGAGTTCATGTGCTCCTTTGAACCTGTATTTTTATACCCTTTGGGTAAATACCTAGAATTGCAATCACTGGGTTGTAGGGTAGTCTATTTTTAACTTTTTGAGGAAACTCCATCCTGTTTTCCAGAGTGGCTGCACCAGTTTGCATTCCCACCAACAGTGTAGGAGGGTTCCCCTTTCTCTGCATCCTCCACAACATCTGCTGTTTCCTGTGTTGTTGATTTTAGCCATTCTGACAGGTGTGAGGTGCTATCTCATCATGGTTTTGATTTGTATTTCCCTGATGATGAGGATGTTGAATGTCTCTTCATGTGTCTGTTGGCCATCTGGATGTCTTCTTTGGAAAAATGTCTATTCCTGTGTATCACTCCTCATATACATAAAGATGAAATGTATGCAAAGTAAATTGGCTAAAGTTGTCAAAGCCCTCTGACCGAAGACCACCAGGAACACTGCTGTTGTCAAAAAAAGTTCGGTTTATTTAACTTGCTTCCGTAAAGGAGAACGTACCCTAGGGAAAACCCTCATGTGAGTCTCTTTAAATTCGGGCTTGCATTCCATGGTTCTGTGGAGGGATTAGGGAAGTGGGGGGCCAGTTCTGGATTGAATGTTGTCAAAAAGCAGGGGCAACTTAGAGATTGGGTATCTTTTTTAAGATTTTATTTATTTATATGAGAGAGAGAGAGAGAGAGAGACAGCGAGAGAGGGAACACAAGCAGAGGGAGTGGGAGAGGGAGAAGCAGTCTTCCCGCGGAGCAGGGGGCTCGATGCGGGGCTCGATCCCAGAATCCTGGGATCACGACCTGAGCTGAAGGCAGACAATTAACGACTGAGCCACCCAGGTGCCCCAAGACCGGGTATCTTTATAACGTTCATCTAGGAGGCAGGAGGATGCAAGCAGGGCTGGAGTTATCTATGGTAAGGAAGCAGCAACCACTCAGAGTCATCTTTGTGGTCACCAAGGGGCCTCACCTATGTCTCATTCTGAGCGTGATTTATTTCTGCTGGTAACATCATGGTCTGAATATCAGAAGGGCAATCTTGAACACTCTTGATATTCCTAAAACTTCACAGTGATGTCCATTATAGAAAGTATCCCCATTCCAAGGATGTTAAAATGTAGAGAAAACGCTCGTCTTGGATTTGATGAAATAGGATTCTTGCTGTATTACTTTGGGCAAGTAATTTACCCCTTTAAGCCTCAACTTCCTGCTCTGTAAAATGGGAACAATACAGTCTACCACATTAAGACTTATGAGGACACAGTGCCTGGTATAATATTGGGTGTATCACTCAGAGTCCAAGGGGGGAAATAAGAACCATTCTAAGTATGTAAAACAAAGAATTTTTATTTTAAAGGTTTTATTTATTTATTTGAGAGAGAGAGAATGAGAGAGAGCGAGCACATGAGAGGGGGGAGGGTCAGAGGGAGAAGCAGACTCCCCGCCGAGCAGGGAGCCCGATGCGGGACTCGATCCCGGGACTCCAGGATCATGACCTGAGCTGAAGGCAGCTGCCCAACCAACTGAGCCACCCAGGCGCCCGTAAAACAAAGAATTTAATGCAAGGTATTGGTGACACCAGTGACAAGGGTGATGGAAGGGCTGAGTAGTCCCAACCGGGGACAGAGAGGTAAGCCAGAGATTAGCAAACACAGGACACTCCCTGCCACTCCTAAACCGGAGGGACAAATGGAGGAGTTGGAATTAATGTAGCCTGGAAGTGAGGATCATCCCCCAGAAGTTGGAACCAAGGCAGCCTACCCAGTAAGAGCTGGAACCAAAGAGGAGCTTTATCTATGGCTGGAGACCTGCCCAAGCCCAAGCAAGCGAGAGAAAGAGAAGAAACACACTGGCTTTATCCTTCCTCCTATCTCCCAGTCTCCTGCCACTGTCTCCCATTGGCCAAACCCAGACCTGAAGGCCGCAGTCCTGGGAGCCTGAGGATCTGCACCGTGCAGGGCAGTAGAGAGAGAGCAGAAGGTCAAGGAAGGGATCTCTGCAAAGGTTACCAGGTGATCCTGAGATAGAAATGATTGAAACCCGCTTGGTAATACCTTTATCTGTAAAACCTTTAAAGTACTGGATACACTTGAAAGTAACAAGATTATTCACTTAAAGACCTATGGCAATCCAGATACCATAGGTCTTTCTGCTCTCCAGCCCCCAACCCACTACATGCATTATTCTGAATTACTCCTGTGTCTGGTCTGATAGGGTAGCATTTTGAGATGGATTTCCAGTGTCAGACATTTTCTCAACGAAAACCTCAGGAGAGCTTCTACAGCAGAGGGAGATGCCCATTCTATGTCACGGAGGTAAAAGCTCACCCGGAGCAGGATTAGGATGTAGCAGTGTCATGGTAACCGGAGTCTGGTCTTGGGGCTCTCAAGGATTTGTGTGCCCTTGGGGAGGCTCAAAATCTCTAGACTCACGTTTTAAAAAAAAATGGCAATCAAAACCATCGGGGGTGGTTTGCTTGTGTCACACTCCACTTGGCTCTTCCATCTTCGCATCCCCTTATCCAGAAGGCTCCACAGTGTTTTCTGAGAAAGGATGAGGTCGTCTGAGAAAACAGATAACGCGCCCAAGGTCACAGAGCTGCGAAATATCAGAAGGAATTCCGTCTCCCCGCTTCCCACGCCAAGGCCCTTCTCGCTGCCCAGCGAGTTCTGTTCCCGCCCGGGGCATCTTCTGGTGGAGGAAGGCTCGTTCAGAAAAGGCAAAGGCGACCCCCAGCAAACCCCTGGGGCACCCGGTAGCGCTCTCGACGCCCGCCAACGGGCCCGATCGGCAGCCCGCCGGCCCTGGGGGCCTCACCGCCGGCCGGCAATGCCCGCCTCCACGCCGGAGGCCGGCCGGGAGGCCGCGGCCCTCCCCGCCGCCCTGCGGGTCCCCGGGAGGCTAACGGAGCCGCGTGCCCGGGGCGGGGCCACGCGCGATTGGCCGCGCGGGGCCGGGGGCGGGCCGGCGGCGGGCCGGCCGGGCGGGCGCCGACAATGAGCCTCCATAAAAGGGAGCGGCGGGGGCCTGGGGCCCCGGATTGAGCCCTCCCCACCCGGGGTCCCGACGCGTTCGGTCTCGGGGAGGCCCGGACGCGCCCGTCGCAGGCCGGGCGGTGAGCGGCGGGCGGCGGGGAAGGGGCTGCGCGGGGCGGGAGGCGGCCCCTGGCTGCGCGCCCGGCCTCCAGCGTCCGGTCACCGCGATACCCCCCCCGCATACACACCGGCCGCACCATGGCCCTAAAGGCCGAGGGCGCCGCGCTCGACTGCTTCGAGGTGACGCTCAAATGCGAGGAAGGGGAGGACGAGGAGGAGGCCATGGTGGTGGCTGTAATTCCGCGGCCCGAGCCGATGCTCAGAGGTGAGGAGGGAAGGGGACCCCACTTCCGCGTCACGGTCCGGGCCCGGGCGCCCCCTCCCCCTCCGCAGTCAGGGGCTCCAGCGCCCCCTCCCCCTCCGGCCTGGGACCCGGGCGCCCCCACCCCCTCCGGCCTGGGGCCCGGGCGCGCTCTCGCTCCGCCCCCTCCAGGGTTTGGAATCTGGGGCCTCCCCGAATTCCCTCTCCCCCGCCCCCGTCCGGGGTCTGGAGCCTTCGATCCACACCCCGCGCGCTCCGGATCTTCCGGTGCCCGAGCGCCCCCTCTCCCGGGCCCCGCACCGGCGGCCGCGGTCTCCCGCCCCACGGAGGCAGAGGCCGGCGCAGGGGCCAAGCTGTGTTTTAGGCCGAGGGGCAGCAAGGCCTCCGGGCCCGAGGCTGGGCACGGCAGCCTGGTGTCCGGAGAGATCCGAGGATGCCGCCGCCAAGAGGAGGATTTTCAGGGCCCTCTACGCAGAAAGCTTTGCTGTCCCCCAACTCCCCTTGCATCCCCGGCCTTCCACTTGCGTAAGCCACAGGTGTCAGATTCTAGCGCTTCAGGGGTGAATGGGATGGCATACGGCATACTCCGTTTCGGAAGAGGAGTGTTTGCTAGGGGTATCCTCTGCCACGCTGGAAGGAGATTGGCCTTGGGAAGGGATTCGAGGAACAATCTGGGAACACTTGATTTCCCCTCCCCCTTTACCAGTTTCTTTAGTCCGCAGGATCTTGCAGACCATTAGAAAACAAAGGGCCTTCTTAGTGGAAAACTTAATACTCATGAAAATGCCAGAAAAATTTTCATGGAAATGCAAATATCTTTTTATTCTCAAATACCTCTTCCCGTAGGGGGGATTGTACCCCAAAGAGGTTGAGAGCAAGTCCATTTATTTAACCTCAGCAGCACCCGCTGTCTCCCTGCACTGCCTCTCATCCTTTTTGGAATCTGGAGAGTTATAAAACAAGTCCGGTAAATAAAGGCTGCTACCCTTCTCAGAGCTTTGCATCCAACAGAAGTTCTTTCCCTACTTGTGCTAGTATTTACTGAATGCTGGATGCCAGGCTGTCTCAGTTAATCCTCTCAACAACCCTGCAAGAGAGGCCCTATTTCCCAGTTAGGGATGAGGAAGTAGAAGTCCAAGAGAAATTAAATCATTCAACAGGTCTTCATTAGGCACCTACCGTAAGCCAAGCAGTTTTAGGCTGGGCATGCTAATGGCTATAAACAAAGATGAAACATCCCTTCTGGAATATATATATATAAATGAATGACCAAAGACAAATACAATCAAATGCATAGGGTGTCAGGTGCCAATATGTGGTTCAGAGAACACCAGAGCAAAGGGAGGAGAAAAGAGAGTGGGGGTGTTTTATTTGGAATATCAAGTGGTCAGGAAAGGCTTCTCTAATGTGAATTTTGAGCACAGACCCAAAGGACGCGAGAGAACGAAACTTGTGGGTAATGGGAGGGAAAGCATTTTAGGCAGAGAGAATAGCAAGTATAAATGTCTTGAAGCAGAAGCTTTTTGAAAGATTTGGGGTAAGTGGGGAAAGGATAAATTCAAGGTCTTTGGCCTGAGCATCCAGAAGGACAGGCCTCCCACGAAAAAGACAAGAAGGCTAGGATGCTGGCATGTGCAGATAGGGAGTTAAGGTTTGAACAGGGTGAGTTTGACATGCCTGTGACACATTCAAGTGCCATGACCAGATAGGCATCAGACACGTGCGTTTAGATGCAGGGGAGAGTCTGGCTGGAGGTAGAAATACGGGAGTCATCAGCAGGCAGGCAATGGGAGGAGACTGTCAGAGGGAGGAGACAGACAGAAGGTCTAAGAACGGAGCTGTGGAACTCTCTCCGGTGACTGCGGGTTGGAGATGGAGTCGGTCCCCATCAGATTTCTGAATGCCACTACCTGCCAGGTGCTGTTCTTGAGGCTGGGGGTCTAGGTGTGGACGGTCAAAAGTCATGCTGTCCCGGAGCCTGCCATGCAGCGGGGAGACATGGAGCACAAGTGACACCATGTTAGGCCCGGTGGCGGTGTGGGCTAAGGAGGACACGAGGGGGGAAAGGGAATGGGGTGCCCCGCTTTCTGCAGAGGGGCAGAGAAAGCCATTGCAAGAAGATGGTTCTTCAGCTACGCCCTGAAAGAAGTGAGAGAGCCGTGAGAAGAGATGAGAGGAACCAGCACGCGTGACCCCAAGAGAGCCCCAGGAAGTAGGAGACGAACCAACGGGAGGTGGTGCCTAGGAGCCGAGCGACAAAAATCAAGATGGAAGAAGTGATGAGTCAAATGATGAAGTTTAAGAACTGACCACTGGGTTTGGCATCGGTGACCCTGGCGAGAGCTGTTTTGGAAGAATGGTGGGAAAGAAAGTCCAACGGCAACCAAGAGGTTAAGGGTCTTTTGTGCCCGGTCATGTGGGAGATAGGTACAGCGCAGCCTGGGACCTGGATCTTCTGAGTCCTGACAAATTCTCAGGCCCATTTTTTTAATTAATTAATTTATTTATTTATTTAATTTTAATTTTTTTTTTTTTTAATTTGCGAGAGAGAGAATGAGAGAGAGCATGAGAGGGGGGAGGGTCAGAGGGAGAAGCAGACTCCCCGCTGAGCAGGGAGCCCGATGCGGGACTCGATCCCGGGACTCCAGGATCATGACCTGAGCCGAAGGCAGTCGCTTAACCAACTGAGCCACCCAGGCGCCCTCTCAGGCCCATTTTAAATGCCACCTCCCCATCAGTTCCTAGGTGTTAGGGGCCCCCACATATTTTATTTCATCTTCTCAGGTGGGAGAGAGGGGTGGCCATCAGAGGTCAGGAGACTCCACAGAAACACTGAGCTGCCAGGCTATGTGGGGTCAGCCTGCCTTCTTTGTCGAGCTGGAAAGGATTCCTGCCCTGCCAGAGTTTGTGGTCCAGGTGCACAAAGCAGATGCCAGGCAGACCCTTGGGCATGAGATCACACCTGCAGTTGCTCTGGGAGATGGGAAAGGGATTGTGACGGGGTGTGGTGGCCTGTTAAGGGGGCCTCGCTGGATGGAGAAGCAGACATGCCCGTCATTCGCTGACTGAAGGCTCACTGAGCATCTCCTGCGTGCCAGGCCCTGTGGGGACGATAAATGATCACACGTAGCATTCTTGTTCTCAAGAAAGTATGCAGTGTGGCCTGGAACTCAGACATGGATATAATCCCCCGCCAGGGGTGAGAGGTCAGGAAGGCTTCCCAGGAGTGACAATGTGAGCGGGGCCATGAAGGAAGTATAGGAATTTATCGGACTGATGAGGACGGTCTGGATGGACATGCTAAGACTGAAGACCTGCAAGAACACAGCTTGTCGGAAAAGCACGTGGACCTGTGGTCCGAGCCCAGATTGAGAGGAGATAGGCAGGGAGATAGCGGGATGCCCAGGTACACAGCGTCTCATGGGCTGCAGGGGAAGGGAGAGAAAGACTTTGGGTGACAATGTTCCTCCTCTGTCCCCCAGCTCCACCCAGTTTGGGGAATCAAGTTGTAAGTATTCTAGGCCGTGGGCACCTTTACCACTAACATGTCCTGCACCTCTCCCTCTGTAGTGGCCCAACAGGAGAAGACCCCAACGCCTAGGCCCAACCTGCTGGAGGCGGGTGGCGATGGCTGCGAGGAGCCCAAGCAGCAGGTGTCTTGGGAGCAGGAGTTCCTGGTGGGAAACAGCCCAGGAGGCAGCGGGCGGGCACTGTGCATGGTGTGTGGGGCCGAAATCCGGTCCCCCTCTGCAGACACGGCGCGCATGCACATCCTGGAACAGCATCCTCACACCCTGGACCTGAGCCCTTCAGAGAAAAGCAACATCCTGGAGGCCTGGAGTGAGGGGGTGGCCCTTTTGCAAGACATCAGAGCTGAGCAGACTTCTTCACCCACCTCAGGTAGGGAGGGGGCGGGGGGCGGTAGGGGTGGCGGATGGAGGGAAAAGTCGGCCTCTCAGAGGACTTGGAGCTCACCGGGTGTTTGCCCTCTTCAGACTCAGGCCAGGATGTCGAAGCTGACCCGGACTCCGACCCAGACCCTGCCAAAATGCCAGCAGAGATTGTCGTTCTCCTTGACTCTGAGGACAACCCATCTCTCCCGAAAAGGAGCCGGCCCAGGGGACTCCGCCCCCTCGAGCTTCCGGGTCAGTCTTCTGGAAGCACTTGAGGCTGAGCTGGGGAGAGGGGAACATGCGCCCTGTGTTCTGTGTGGAGAGAGGCTGTGGGGCTCAGGCGTGGACCCTTTAAAAGGTCTGGGGTCTTCTCATTCTGCAGCTGCTCCTGTCTCGGAGCCAGGAAATAGGAAGCCCCGTGGTCAGAGATGGAAGGAACCCCCTGGGGAAGAGCCGGTCAGAAAGAAAAGAGGCAGACCCATGACCAAAAACTTGGACCTGGACCCAGACCCTGACCCAGGTGAGAGGGAGGCCCATGCAGGTGTGGGCATGGGCTCCGGCCGCAGTGCTCCTAGAGGAAAGCCAAGCAGGGGAGGGCGGTTGGTCCAGGCCTTTGGATTCTGGCTTCAGTGAGGATAGACAGCTCAGCCTCCCAGACTCACAGGTCCATCCTGTCCTTCCTTCCAGACCCCCCGTCACCCGACTCACCCACAGAGACTTTTGCTGCTCCTGCTGAGGTCCGACACTTCACTGACGGCAGCTTCCCCCCAGGCTTCGTCCTCCAGCTCTTCTCCCACACCCAGCTCAGGGCCTCAGACAGCAAGGACTCACCCAAAGAGGGGAGAGCTGCAGAAGGAGGCCTTCCCCAGCCGGAAAGCCCCTCTCCAGGTGAGCTCCTGAGAGGGGACGACAAGGGAGGGTCAGGCAGCCTGCATCCCTGGGGTCTGGCCTCCTCGAGGCTGCTCTGCAGCAGAGCCCAGGGCAGAGGTGGTTAGCACTCGGGTTCCCTGAGAGACGGGGCCAAGGACAGGCAGACTTGAATGACACGGACTGGCCAGAAAGCTGAGCTGCTAACGGATTGGTCGTTAGGTTGGGCTAGGCCAGTGCTCCCCAAAGCCAGACACTCAGCACCACACTTCAGGCTGATTCCACCTGATACCTGAGGTGCCCAGTTCACCCTTTTGGAGCAAGGGCCTTAGCAGACCCGTGGTGAACTCAGCAGGCACCTCCGTGAAGAAAGCAGTCCAGTGACTTGTCTAATGATAGCAGTAAGCGCTTGTGTTTGTATCGTGTTTAACCGATTTCCAGAAACTTCTATACGTGGTTCATCTGGCCTGTAGAAAAGTCTGTTTTCTGCAGGGGAGAAGGAATTGGGAAGGTTGAGTCTCAGAGCTGATTCCTCCTTCCCTTGATCCTTGTATTCGTTTCCTGTGGCTGCATTAACAAGTTCGTGGCTTCGAGAACACGCTTCATCCCTTCTCAGTTCCAGAGGTCAGAGGTCAGGAATGAGCCTCACTGAGCTAAAATCCGGATGTCGGCAGGGTCATGTTCCTTTCTGAAGGCTCCGGGGGCAGGGGTGAAGGGTGTCCATTTTCTTGTCCTGCCAGCTTCTTAGAAGCTGCGTGCATTCCTTGGGTTTTGGTCTCCTTCCATCTTCAAAGCCAGCAGCCTCCAGGAGAGTCCTTCTGAGGATGCTATCTTTGACCTGACTCTTCCGCCTCCCTCTTCCGTACTGGGACCCTTGGGATTACATGGAGCCCACCCAGATCATCCAGGACAATCTCTTTAGTTTGAAGTTAGCTGATTAATCAGCAACATTAATTCCATCTGTAGCCTTAATTCCTCCTTGTCATGTAACATGACCATAGTCACAGATCCTGGGGAGGAGGGTGTGGACGTCTTTAGGCAACAGTCACATAGCCAAGCAGTGGCAGAATTCAGATTAGACCAGAATGCATTCTGGGAGGGCAGAGGCTGAGCCTGGTTCCTCTTCATCTCTCCATGCCAGGCGTCTTGGGCTCGGGAAATGGCTCTCGAAGGAGCGACCGAGTGACACACAGCGCCTTGTCCCGGCCTGTCTGAAATGTGCATTCAGAGTTAGAGCCCAGGGAAAGATAGCACGGGAGGTACCAGGGGCTCCCCAGAGCAGGGCTCTCAAAAAGGAGGTAGGCTTTTTGCATAAAGAAAAAAGCAAATGTGCGCCGTCTCCTGCCCCCCTCCACCAGTGGTGAGCGCTGTTAATAGTTCAGTTTGTATCCTGGAGACCTTCTACAAAGCTCGGTGTGTGCGTGTGTACGTGCACACGTGCACTTTCGCTTGATCATATTTTACAAAACGGGCTCCGCTTTTTCTCCTCTTGAGGCAGGCGTCAGCCCTTCACGTAGATCACGGTTTTAGCTGTCTCAAGTTTCAGCTTGAGCCACATTCCAGTCCTGCCTCTCTCAGAACAGTGCGCTCTGCTTGGACTTGAGCGTTCCCCAAGCTTCCTCGTTGTCTTCGGTATCTCAGTGCTCTAAAGGGCTAACCGCTTCCACTGTTTAATGGGTCTTCTGGTTTCATTCTCGAAAGGGAGCCTTCATTTTGAGTCCTGGGATACCCTGTGCCCAAATTCCACCTATCTGGAGTGGTGAGTAGCTGAGAAGGGTAGTCCCTGAGATCTCAGGTTCCTTTGGGGTACATGGGCAAAGTCTGAGGCCTTGGGGTTCACCAATCTGATTGATGTGAGAGGGTTTTTTCTCAGCAGGGGGCAGGATCTAGGGAGCTTGGAGGTGGCCGGAACCCACAGCAGCTCAGCCCCGAGGGAAGCCCTCTGGAAAATGACATGAGTGAGGACAGAGTAGAGTTTCTTTGTCCCCAAGAAACTTACTGTCTGTTTGGGGGTACAGGTCGGGGGCAGTGACGCAGCCACCCTAGTTCTATGCAGGGCAAAGGCTCCGGAGCGTGGTCGCAGACTGTTTCAGGATCCCCGAGTTCGGACAGATTCCTCAAGACCCTGTGAGGCTTCAACCAGAATGTCTTCATGTTGGGTTGCTTTATGTATTGAGGTTCTTGGAAGATTTTGAGTAAAGATTCTATTGCTTTAAAAAAGTTTAAAAGTCAAGGATTTAGAAGTTGGGGAAGGTCACTGTGGTGAGGTCAGCTGAGCTGATGGATATGAGTGTGAAGCTGAGAAGACTTTCTGGAACTTTCCAAGGGCCTTGCAGAACGAGGGTGGGGAGGCGTCCAAGCCAGGAGAGGAGGTGAGCCTTGAGGACCCCACTCACAAATCATGACACAGAGAGTCTCTTGGTCTTGCTACTGTTTAATTTGAGTAAGACCTAGAGAGCCGGCTCTTAGGATACCTCAGCCAGGCTCAGTATGTTTCCAGGCTGGACCAAGGAAAAAGTGTGTGTGTGCATGTGTGAGCTTCGCAAGCTGTATCCTCAGCACCCAGTACCGTGCCTGCCACAAAGAAAGCCCTCTGTAAAGATTTACTGAAAGAAGGGTGGATAGTGGCTGCCTTCACTTGTCACGTGGTGGTGACATTTTCAGTCGCCAATCAGAAACAAGCCTTAATGAGAAACAAGAGAAAAAGACTTGGGCCCACTCTCTGGCGGTGTGTGCTTGTACCCACACACGCACAGATGTAGAGGAAGGGGGAATGTTGCTGGGGAAGCAGAGGGGCTTGGGCTTCCCAGGAGGGAGGGGGGCCAGCCCTGGGTTTGGAGTGCAAAAGGGGCTCAGCTTGTCCCCAGACTGATAAATCCTCCTGGCCTGCTTTTTCACGGCCCTGGGGCTCCGATCATGCCTGCTTTCTGGAAGGGCCTCACATGTCAGGCTTCACTGTCCTGATGCTCCTCTCCCCACCCACCCTCACCTCTGCCCTCCGTGCTACCAGAAAGAATTGGTACGTAATTCTGTTGCTTTGAGCAGTCCCGAAGTCCATGAGCTCTTACCACCTGCTGAACTCTTTTAACGTCTTAGCATGTCATCGGTCTCCTTAAATCCCCACAACCACCATACACAGTATTAGGATTTCCATTTTGGAGAAGAGGACACAGCCTCGGAGAGGTAAGGCACCTCTCTCAGGGCCCCTCGCCTAGTAAGCAACAGCCTGTGTGCGTCTCCACCTGTGCCCATCCCCCTCCAGCATCCAAGCCGCATCCTCTGCCTTCTCTCTGCTGCTGGCAAAGCCTGTCGTCCCGCCCCCCCCCCCCCCAACTCCTCTCTGGAGCCCATCCCGCACCCTGCCGGCCACTCTTCTCTCTGTGCTCTCCTCTTTGTCCACCGTCCGTATTTCCCTCTCCTCCAGATCTTACCCGGCAGCCTATGCAAAGCTGTGATTTCTCCCTTCTTGACCCCTCATGCCTCCCTAGCCACTGTCCCATGTGTCCCCAAGCCTTTTCAGCAAAGCTGGGAGCATTTTCTACACTAACTGGCCCTCCCCTCTCTGGGAGCCACTTCAGTCCTATTCCCATCCTCCCATCTCATGCTAAAATTGCTTTTTTGGCAAGGTCACCTTTGACTTGCCTAAAATGAAAATCCAGCAGTCAATTCTCCGTGCTTGACTTTCCCCAATGTGACCATAACTGTGACATCGCCCCTCCCTCCTTTCTGGAATCACTCTTGATCTTGGGGCTCCTCGGGCCACTGGCCGGGTCTCCCTCCAGCTTCACTGGCTGTTCTGTTTCTCCGGCCTGTCCTTTCATACACGACTCCCTGAATCAGATGGGACAGTTCTCTCTCCTCTTTCTTGAGTGTAAGCTGCTTCAGGTCAGGATGTGTGTCTGTTTCATTTCCTGTGATCTCCCCAGCACCTGGCATAGGGTCCAGGTGCTGCTGTGTTCAGTGAGGGAGCGGTTAAGTGAGGGACTGGATGCCTCAACCCCGGGGCAAGACCTTCCTCACTCCCGGAGCGATCCAGTCCAAGTTCATGTGCTCCCAGCTCCCACCCAGATTCCCCCTGGTTCCAGCCTCTCTTCCAGATGCCCATGTGACATATCTGTGGTTGTCCATAAGATCTGTCAAACTGGCTTATCCGAACTGAACCCCCACGTCCCCCCACCCACCCCGAGCCACTCTCCTCCTCCCTATCCTCCTCTCCCCTTTTCCATTGTGCACTTTGCTCAGGCTGGGGCAAAGCATAGCGGACTCTCACTTTCTGTACGTCTTTGCTCACATACCCGCTCCACGAGGCCCTCCGTGCTATCTGTCCCCTTCCCTGGTGTGTTTTCTTATTTCACTTTGTTTCCATCCATACGCAACACATCACATCTTGTGTCCGTTCATCCTTTCGGCTCCTGCCACCGGATCGGGAGTTCCAGGAAGGCCGCGTGGAGTCTGCTCGCCCCTCTCTTAGGGCCCGGTTTTGCCTATTCTGAGCAGCTGCTCCCCACTGCTGAGGTGGACATCTGATCCCCAAGGGGTAGGTCCTGACTGGAGCGGAAGAGCCCCGTGAAGCTCGCAGGGCAGAGCTGGGATGCTAACCCAGGACTGGCCATGCGGGGCTCTCGCCTTAGCCTCCGGATCCATCTGTGAGCCCCTTGGTGGGCAAAGCTGTGTCTTACTTGGTTGGCGGGGGTTCCCCACTCCCACCACCTGTGTCCACACAAGGCAGAAGCCCTCAGGCTAGGGCTCTCAGGAAGTTTTAGATGAAGCAGAGTGAGCTGAAGGGAAGAGCCGAGGGAGGTAGACAGCACTGAGCATCTGTGTACCAAAATACGTGGGGGAGGAAGTCTGACTTATGCCTCCGGGGCTGTGACCTCATTTTTTGGTTGGTCATGGTCCTCTGATGAACCAAGAGTGGAGCTTCCCGCTGTCCCTTGGGCTCCCCCCTCATACCAGGCCTTGGACTGTGGAAGTGAAGGCTTGGGAGTGGAGGTGTGGTTTGCAGAGGCCTTTGGGGGGCACTATTGTGGTGGGGGTCCAGAGGGCCCTGACTTCTGCTCTCTACTCCCGTCCCTGCCCAGCTCCCCCTCCGGGGCTTCGCGGGACACTGGATCTCCAGGTTATCCGCGTCCGGATGGAGGAGCCCCCGGCAGTCAGCCTCCTGCAAGACTGGTCCAAGCATCCCCAGGGCACCAAGAGTGTGGGAGCAGGTGATACCCCAAACTGGCCTGCGGTTCTGTCAGACTCCAGCACCACTGTGGGGGGGCAGCCAGAGGCAGGGAGTGGTGTGTAGGTTCTCACTCTCCTGGGGAGGGAGGGAGGAGGCAGGGTCCCCCTTTGGCTTATCACTCAGAGCTGCCCGGCTCGACCACCTGATGGAGAGAGGAAAACCAGGTGCCAAGGCAGGATGGAGGAGAGGAAGGGGGGCAGCATCCACTGCTACTTGGGGGCACTGGAAGGTGTCTTCCCCTGGCAAGGCACAAGGCCAGGCCCTGAGATGGGCAAGGCTGGCCTCAGGGCTGTCGTGTGGTAGGGCATTGAGCCGTGGAGAACACCTACCTTGATCCTTTCACTGACCCAGACCTCTCTGTCCCCGCTCCGTTCCCCCTCTTAGCCCCCCCCATTCTCCCTTGGCACAGTGCCTTACACAAGAGGTGGTCACGATGGGGTTTGAACTGAGTCCCACTACCTCGGGGGACGCCTCTCCTCCCCCACCTGTTCAGGCCCCTAAACCAGGAGGCCTCCATTACCTCTTCCCACTCCATCCCTGCAGGAGGCCCAAACAGCCCACCTGGGGGCTTTGTTCACTCCCTCCTTTTCACCTATTTTCCTGTTGTATATATCTCCTTTGTTGACAATAAATTATTTTTTTTTATTAAGAGAGTTCCGTCTGGGCCATCATTGGGGGACGGGATTGGCTAGCAGGATATCCAGGCTCCTGGAGCGACCTTGAGGGGCAGGTGGGCTGACCGATGGTCCTGGGAGGGAGGGCAGAGCAGGGCCAGGACAGGGCATCATTGGCTGGACGACTGGGGCTGCCTCGGTGCCAGTCACAGAGGGATACCTTGCCCCTTCCCTGTGCCCTTGAAGCGGGGTCAGAAACACCTTTTCTTTGACATTTTGTACTTTCTGATTCCTTTGGTAAGCCTCTGTCCAAGAGAGGCCATGGTGGGGGGACAGGGGCGCTTCCACCCTAGTCACTGATCTTTCTAAACTGAAATGGTTGTGGCCAGCCTACGGGGTCGGCGGGGGAGACCTGCCTCCCCTCCCCTGCCCCGGGATGAGGCAGCGGCCATGTGGCGCCTTACTGTAACCCACCCTCTCCTTGGCTTCATTAAACTCCTTCCTTTGTCCGGTTTCCCCGTTTCCTGGACCAAGAGATGGCCCACTTTGGGTTTCTTCACCAGCTTCTTTATCCTCCTAAACCAACATCACAAGCCAATTCTCTGTGGCATTTTGTTTCTCTCCCATGGGTGAGAGGGGCACTGAAGAGGGGCACGGGGAGCTCCCTGTCAGACCCGAAACCCCACTGTCGCCTTTAGAATCCAGAAGCACGTGGAGCATTGGGACAGTCCAGCCCCCGCTCCAGGACTGCTTCCCTGCTCCTGATAAGTCCTGTGCACCTGGGGAGAGGTGAGGACTCTAGAGGGGGCGCTCGCCTACAGCACTGACCCAGCCAGGTTTTGAGACTAACCAGAAAGCTCCTCTTTAACTCAGGAAGGATCTGGGTATAAGCACATGACAGCTGGCCATGTGTTTCTCTGAGCCGGTGTGGGCCCACTGTGGGTGATCTCCGCATGGTTGCTTCCTGGGATGTGGTCCTGTCTCCCTGTCTGACAAGCTTGGGAGGAGTGCAAGTCTGTGGGGCCCTAGTCGGGGAATTAGAAGGCATGGGTGTGGCACGTTGTGGAGAAAAGTCAGTAGATCCTGTGTTAGGGTGGCTTCCCCAGTGTGTGACAGGTGGGCCATGGAACTCCTCTGGGTCTCCACCCCTGTTTCTGCAAACTTGTAAAACTTCCATCCCACTTAACAGGAAGGAGTAAATAAGGCTGCAAATCGGGCTTCGAAACACGAATGTGAATCACTGCCGGTGATTTCTTTCCATCCTTCCAATCGTGTGACTGTGTTTACAATTATGCCAATGTGCTTTTAAATCAACGTGGCTGTGTTGCTGGGTGTTTACAATTGAGAAAACATCTAAAGCGCGCTGTAAAATCGTGAAGTTCAATGCACCTTCTCTGCTGTTGATGTGATTGGTGGCCGGCCCACTAGACTGTGAGCTCCTTTCGGGCAAGGACTGGGCTGCATTGACCTCATTTTCCTAGGGCCCTGCTTGGGGCCTGGCACATCGTAGGTGCTCAATAAATGTTTGTCAAGTGCCCTCTTGGTGTGTCTTCCTGTGTGACATTTTCCCAGGGCAAGCCGGTCCCTAGAGTGCGCGCGGCTCCCCGCACAGGGTTGGCGGCCACAGTGGCTGTGGGTGGCATGGCTGCCCCCTGACCTCATCCCCACATCTTGGTTGGCAGGGGTCTGCCCAGCCTTGGCCAAGACCCTTGGGACGATATGAGTGTGTGGGGCTGGGAGCTCCCAGAGGGCTTCCAGGGAGAGGTGGGGAGAGGAGCCAGGGCACGACTCCACCCCGAGTGCAGAAGTTTCCGAGCGTCGGTGACTCAGTGCTTGGGGGGCATGTGTGTGTCCCCCCGCCATCTCCCCCAGCCCCAGAACAGGTGCTGCTGCAGCCGTTTGCCCAAACACCAAGGAAGCCTCCCCCGCCATCCGTGCCCCGGGGCTGGTGGTGGCAACTCTCCAGGTGTGATGCGGAGGCCCAATCACACGTTGAGTGGAGGGTGGGGGAAGAAGGGGCCACTGCCCCCAGCTCCTGATACCTTTGCCTCTAGTCCCCTTTGCTCTCTGAACCGGGCCACCTCCTGCTCTCCCCAGCTGCCCCCTCGGGGTTCAGGATGGGGAGATCTTTCTGGATACCAGCAATAGCTGTATAGTTCAAGCTGGTCCAAGGCAAAGGAAGGAGCAGCCCTTCCCTCCCCGAAGAGAAACTGGTGTGTGTACGGGTGTGGTTGGGAAGGGGAGACACTGGCTGGGCCCTGTGTGGCACCCTAACTGCATCGCTGGTCTGGTCCAGACTCTGCCGCTCCTGCAGATTCCACAAACATGACTGAAGGCCCCCCGGGGGCAGGCACCGTGCTGGGAACCGCAGAGCACAGACAGGACACCCGGCCTGTCTCCACTGTGGGTCACCCCACACTGGGCCCGTCACACAGGTGAGGGGTCGGGCTCAGCAAGACGAACGACTTACCCACCATTCCAGAGCTGGCGAAGGAGCAGAGCCAGGCCGAGCCTGGATCTGTCGGACCCCCGAGCTCTTGTCCCCTGTGCTACATGGCCTGTTTCGGCTTCAGGAGGACTGAGACATCTTCCCTTGAGGGCCTGGGGACCTGCGGTAGGTTCGGGGTGTGAGGCAGGAATGGAGTCAGGTCGGAGTGGGGAAGGTCATTCACGATGACAACCGCTCAGCACCTCGAGGCTTTGCTCCACTCAGGTGGTGGTGCTCAGTGCCCTCGCCAGGCCGATTTCCAGAGCCCCCACCGAGGTCCCAGCACCTGCTGGGATCATAGCTTGCTCCTGGCAGTGCCAGCTGAAGGGACTCACAGCAGATGCAGAAGGGCGCTCATCTCACCATCCCAGGTGACAATGTCTGGGAACCAAGCTGAGGGCTTTGAGGTGGAGGGAGTCCTGCTCCTCCCCTGTTCCTTTTCCAGAAAATGCCTCCTGGCCCCTTGGGAGGGCCCTGCTTGCTGGTCCTGGCCTCACTCAGCAACCTCTGACCCTGACTCAGGCTGGGCTTGGTACTTGGGAGCTACAAAAGCAGGGACAGGTACAAGAGTGTCCACGTGAGCTTGGGGGGCTCTAGGAGGGCAGGGCAGGGGGAGCTTCTCCTATCCCAGAACCCGCCCTTTCCCCTCCACCCCTCCCTGACCTAGAGCAAGTCTTCTTGCCTGTGGCACCCACATCTTCCTGGATGAGCAGTTTGCCTCTGAGACACTCACCCACAGCCCTCTGAAGTCACGGCTGGGGTCGAGATAACCAAACCTGTACAGGGGTTCAATGCTAAGCTCAAGAGGTCCTGGAGCCCCAGCCCAGGCTGTGAGCTGGGTGAGAGGCATGCACTGTGAGTTCCAGGCACTCGGGACGCCGATGTGGACAAGAGAACCAAGGGCCATTCTGGGTGAGATGGACAGTAAACGGGGAGGTTCTCAGTATGTCCGGCCGGGATGAGTGCATGGAAGAAAAACAGGGCATGATAGAGGGGCGCTATTTTTTCTTTTTTTTCTTCTTAATTTATTTTCTGATCATAGACATTTTCAAACACACCCAAAAGTAGAGAAGGGGTACTGGGTGGCTCAGTAGGTTAAGCGTCTACCTTCAGCTCAGGTCATGATCCCAGGGTCCTGGGATCAAGTCCCGCATCGGGCTTCCTGCTCAGTGGGGAGACTGCTTCTCCCTCTGCCTGCCGCTCCCCCTGCTTGTGCTCTCTCTCTTTCTCTCTCAAATAAATAAATAAAATCTTTAAAAAAAGGGGCACCTGGGTGGCTCAGTTGGTTAAGCGACTGCCTTCGGCTCAGGTCATGATCTCGGGGACCTGGGATCGAGCCCCGAATCAGGCTCCCTATTCAGCAGGAAGCCTGCTTCTCCCTCTCCCTCTGCCCCTCCCCTCACTCATGCCCTCTCTCTCTCTCTCTCTCAAATGAATAAATAAAATCTCAAAAAAAATTAATAATCCCTTAATGTCATCTAATATCCAGTCAGTATTCATATTTCCCAATCAGTCCATGTATGTCTTTTTGTTTTAAATTTTCTAACTGCAGTGAAAATATGCATATGCCATAAAATTTGCCATCTGAACCATCTGCAAGTGTAGCAGTAGTAAGTACGCTCTCATTGGTGTGCAACCTATCTCCAGAAGTCTTCCATGAGTCTCTTTTCCCAGCTGATCTTTGAATCAGGAGCTAAGTGAGGTTCACACATTGTATTTCAACTTGTGACAGCCTTTCTTTCCTTTTTTTTCTCTTGTTTAAGAACATGGTGGCTTGTTCCGTGAATAGAATTTCCTCCATTCAGGATTTGGCTGATTGCACCCGTGTGACACCATTTGGCATGTTCATCCATGAAGGGATGTGGTTTTGAGGTGGGGGCTGCAGAGGGCTTCCTCAGGAGGGGACATTTAAGTATGTCATGCAGTTAAATGGGGAAAGGGAATTCCAGGCAGAGGGGACGAGGTGAGCCAAAGCTCTGTGGCTTTCATTCCTGGGGGATTCACAGACAGCCTGCTACATCCCAGGCCCCACAGGAGGCACCAAGGACACTCCCAGGAACCACAAAATATCCCTACTCTCCTTGGGGCTCGGGCTCTTCTTCCCAGGGAGGGCGGCAGGGGAGGAAAGTGGTAATTTCATCTCCAGACACCCTGACAGCTCCAGCTGTGACTGTATAGCAGTGGGTACATGGGGACATTATCTTGGCACACTGGTGAGTCCGGCCTAGCCAGCCCCGCCCCCACCAGAAAGCCAGTTAGAGCCCTGGACACCAGCTGGTACCAGCTGTCTCTGCCAGCTCCAGGTCGGCAAGTCCAAGGCCCATCCGACATCCTCCTGAGATGGGAACTCCTTGAGGGCCCGTCTTCTTCATGCCCCCACAGGTTGCTCCGATCTCTGCCAGTCCTTCCTTGCAGCGCTTGCTTATCCTTGGGGTCAGACTCAGCGTCACCTCCTCTCAGAAGCCTTCCGTGCCACTCCCTCCAGGTCCCATGATCCCTCTGAGCCCCATAAAAAACCACCCACTTCCGCTTTCCCCTTGGCTTCTCCCAGGACCTCTACCAACGTGGCGGCCCAGCTCCCCATCCAGGATGCCCAGCCTTATTCAGTGACAGTGGCAGCAGAACCCTGCCCGGGGACAGTGACCCAGTGTGGGAGCATGGGTTGGTCCAAAGGGCGCCTCCTCCCAGGAGAAAAGACTGAAGGTGGCTTCTCTGCCTGATGCCCCTTCCCCCCCCCCCCCAGGGTGGTGTGCCCTGGTCATCCTGCCGCACTGTGAGCACACATGAGCGAGGCTGGTAGGGACACCGTCCCCTCCATCCCAGGCGAGGTGGTCCCAGGCCATGGCTGAGAAAGGGTGAGAGGGATATGGTTGCTGGGTTTGGGTTTTGGAGACTGTCTCGGACCTCAAGCTGCTGTAACAGAATACCATAGACTCGTGGCTTATAAACCGCAAACCTATTACTCACAATTCTGGAAGCTGGGAGTCCAAGATCAAGGCTCTGGCAGGTTCAGAGCCTGCTTCCCGGCTCACAGACGGCAGTCTTCTTGCTGTGTCCTCACGTGGAGGAAGGGACTGGGGAGACCTGTGGGGCCCCTTTTATGAAGGCACCAATCTCATTCTGCCCAGTAGGCCATGCAGGGCCCTCCAGACCTCATCACCTCCCAAGGCCATCACCATCACCTTGAGGGTTAGGACTGCAGCATAGGAAACCTGGGGGGGGGACACAAACATCCAGACGATACCATTATAGACGACCCCGTAGAGAGCAGCGAATCCAGCTCCCCCTCATCATTCAGACAAGGAGCCTGAGACTCCAAAGGGGGAAGGGAGTTACCTAATGGCTCACGTGATCCATTAGTGACAGAGCTGCGACCAGAATGGGCTCTCTTACTTCTGGTCCAGTGTTGTTCTCCAGGGAAGTGGGGAGGTTATAGCAGAGAGAATTAAAAGGAGGTTCAGGGAGGCTGGCGAGAATATGCCTTATAATAACAGCAGCTCACACAAAGCGCTGGCCGTCCCCCGGGGCTCTGTCTAAGCCTGTTCCGTATATTAACTCATATCCTCACCTATCAACCTTATGAACTAGGTACGTTTATTCTCCCCATTTAAAAGATGGGAAAATTAAGGTAGAGAGAGGTTAAGAGGCTTGCCTAAGATCACAGAGCTACTAAGGAGCACCTTGGTGGCGGGACGTGTGTGTTCACTCACTACCCTATTCGCCTCTCACGGAAGCCTGGGCTTGACTCGCCAGTCCCACTCCCGCAGCAAGGAACTGAGCTTCTCTACACTTGGACTTCCTAATATTGTAAGCCGGGAGAAATAATGGTGCCTCCGGCTCCTCGTAACTGTGATAGCGTCCACACGGTACAAAACCAAGAAAGGGGAATGCGAATGGTAGTGCCGGCCCAGGATGTGGTTGGGCAGGGCATGAACATTCGAGTCCATGAGTGTGCTAAGACGCACATTTTTTTCACACTCCAACATCTCTGAAATGCCCTGACTTCAGTATGGTGTCTGGGAGTGGTGATAAAGCGCATGATGGAAATTTAGAGACACCAAGAAAAATAGGATAAAGCTCTGTGAGATGGGAGGGTCTGTGGTGAGTCAGAGGGCCAGACATCTGACTCTTGATCAGAGAGTAATTCTGGACCCTGTCTCCCACCCTGGAGAGTGGCCTGCCGGGAATGAGCGTGCTCTCTGGCTCCCCTGCTTGGGAGGAGAAAGTTGAAGAGTTGCGTTGTTTCGGAGGGGTGAGAATAAGGATGTCTTCCATTTGAGCACCCTTACCTCCCCTTGACTTCTGTCCTCACTGCCTGCCCACGATGGGAGAGCTACCCTAACCCCTCTGTGCCTGCCGGGGCTGGGAACCCCACAACCGCTGCCTTCCCTGATTCCAGGGGACATCATGACTGCTCTGGAACCCTGGTCCTGTTGGTTGGTTTCTACCTGGTCTGAGGCCTGTGGTCGATGTCTTTTTTGGGTTTGTTTTGTTTTGTTCAGGTGAGAAATCTCGGAAGTACCCTTAATTCCTCTCTCACATGCCCCCTAAGCCAATCCATCAAGAAATCCTGTCAGTGGGGGGACCTGGGTGGCTCAGATGTTTAAGCATCTGCCTTCAGCACAGGTCATGATCCCAGCGTCCTGGGATCAGGCCCCGCATCAGGCTCCTTGCTTGGCGGGGAGCCTGTTTCTCCCTCTCCCTCTACTGTTCCCCCTACTTATGTTCTCTCACTCTCTCTGTCAAATAAATAAATAAAATCTTAGAAAGAAAGAAAAGAAAGAAAGAAAAGAAAGAAGAAAGAAAGAAAGAAAGAAAGAAAGAAAGAAAGAAAGAAAGAAAGAAAGAAAGAGAAAGAAAAATCCTGTCAGCCCTGTCTTCCAAATATAACCCAAAGCCAACCACTTCTCCCCATGTCCACAGCTGCTGCTCTGTCCACGGGGATGGAGTGGAGAGGAGTCAGTCATCATCTCACCCTCGAATTTTCCTAAAAGTCTCCTTCTTGGTCTCCAGGCTGCCACTTCTGCCCTGCCTCCTTACCCTCTCCTCAACTCAGCAACGGGTCTGATCCTGTCCCTGCAGCGGCTCCTCATTCATTCCGAGGAAAAGCCAGAGCAGTGGCCCACCAGGCCTGGCTTTTTATGACGCCTTTCTGCCCTTTTCTCCTACTGCCTACCCCCTCTCTGCTCCAGTCCCAGTGGCCTTCCTGTTCTCCTGCCCCAGGGCCTTTGCACTGGCTGTCCCCTCTGCCTAGAAAGCTCGTCCCCCAGATATCCACAGAGCTCACTCCCTCACCTCCTGTAAGTTTTAAGTGTCACCTTCTGGGTGAGGCCTACACTGACGACCACAACTCATATTCCTCCCCCTCACCCCTGCAATCCTGATTGTCCTTAGCTGACTGCTTTTATTTCCCGTGGCCCTTAATCCTTACTGTTATGTTTGTTGTCTGTCATCCTCTAATTGAGACATAAGTTCCCTAAGGGCAGAGATCTTTGCTGATTTTGTTCACTGACCTACTTGAGGAATCTAGAATAATGTCTTGCACATAGTAGGGGCTCCATGGAGATTTGTGAATGGATGAGTTTGCAGATTGAAGAGGGGTAACTGTGTGGCAATAACTAATCTTTGAGGAGAAGTAGGTAGGTTAGGGGATTTGAGAAAGTGATGTTTGAACTGAATCTTGAAGTCCATCTGGAAGCCAAGGTTGGTACAGAACACGGAGGTGAGAGAGTTTGGTGGCAGGGAAGAAATTAGGGGGAGGTGTGAACCAGTGATACCAAGCTGGAGAAGATATTAGCAAGGTAAGTTGAAGCTAGACTGTGCAAAGCTTTGAATGCAGGCTAACACTTTTCTTTTTCTTTTTCTTTTTTTTTTAAAGATCTTACTTATTTATTCATGAGAGATAGAGAGAGAAAGGCAGAGGCAGAGGGAGAAGCAGGCTCCCCGTGGAGCGGGGAGCCCGATGCAGGACTCGATCCCAGGACCCCGGGATCATGACCTGAGCCGAAGCCAGACGCTTAACCGACTGAGCCAACCAGGCGTCCCAACACTTTTCTTACCACCAGGACCGGCTCCCAGATTTGTGGGGCCTGATGCAAAATGAAAATGCAGGGCCCCCTTGGTAAAAATTTCAAGAGGATAACAACAGAGCATTGAATCAAGCTCAAGGCCCTTTTAAGAGTAGGGCTCTGTGTGACTGCATGGGGCCCAGGCCCAGGAAGCCAGCTCTGCCTATCCCACATGGGAGCTGGTGAGAACCTTCTAGCAGGGCAGAGATGTAATTGGAGCCGGACTTTAGGCAGATTATTCTGGTATGTCTGGTGGGATTAGGTTGGAGGGAGTCTAGGCAGGGAGACCAGTTAGGCAGCCTTGTGAGGGAGAGGAGGGGACAGGTGAGGTGGGGGTGGGTGCTAAGGGACACAAGGCAGGGGTGAGAACTGGAGTGAGTTAGAAGCATGGAGGAGGTAGAGTTTGCTCAGACAAGAACACGGCCAGGAAAGACCCCCAGGGCACCTTCCTTAGCTCCTCCAACCCTTTTCCCTTCTTTCCCTTCTCTCCAGACCCAAGCCTGGGAGTGGTATGGGGCACAGGAATCTGTGGTGTGTCTCCCTTTGGCCACCAGAGGGCAGATCATTCTCATGGATTTTCCCAGATGAATTTGGGGTGGGGGAGTAGACTATCCTTGGTTCTCACCTCTTCCTCGCTTTTCCTCTCACCTCCTTCTGTGCTCCTTCATCAGCTTCTTCCTCAATGACCGGGCGCCTGACTGGAGCCAGAACGGGCCATGGGGAGGTGTCCTGGAGGACTGTAGGTGGCACCTGTTGCCTCAGGAAGTACTCCATACCGTCCCTCGTTGCATCTGTCCAGCTGCCTGTTTCTCTGGGCGACTTGGCTGAGGGCTCTGCTCAAGATGGGAGTTGAAAGTCAAGTGTCAGAGGTCCATCCAGCACTTTCCCCCACAAGTCCTGGGGCCTCTCTGCTCCTGTACCTTCGGGGACTTGCTGCTTGAGCCTGGTCTCTGGCTCCTGTGGGGACTCTGGCTTCTGCCCACCTTAAGCTGCTGTTGAGCCCTGGGGTGGGGTGGGGCGAGTTCCAACACGTCCAGGGTACAGTGGGTGGGGGCAGCTTAGAGCCCGAGGACTGAAACCAGCCTACTGCCTCTCCCTGGTGAGACAAGTCTAGGGGGAAGTGAAAGTGAACTTCCTGTGGGAGCTGGGGGCTCTCAAAAGATGAGAGGGACCTCACTTTATTGATGACGCTGAAGTCCAGGAAAGGAAGGGAACTTCTCCATCCTGAGGAATCCTCATTTTCTACCGGTTTCTCTTTTCTGTGAGCTTTCTTGTCTTAGAAGGGACAAATGAAAAATGAATGAAGATGAGAATGTCTTCCCTGCCTTACCTTACAGGGGTATTTTTAAAAGGTAAACCAGCGTGACTCAATATTACCACAGTGTAATGTCGTTTTGTGCTATTTTGAACAATTTAAAAAAAGAGGTTAAGTGGAATTCAGAGACGTTATTTAGAATGTCATCACTGGAACAAAGGCATGAATTCTCTTAATATAAGGACGTCAAGGAGCCTAAACTCAGAGATGTTATGTAATCTTTCCAAGATCACATCGCATTTTCATTCCACCGAGCTGGGGCTGGAATGCAGGGCTGGGGGGACCCCCCGCAGCCTCCCGCAGCCGGGAGCCTAGGACGCTGACCTGGTGCTTGCCCCGGACCTTAGGGAACACTGCAGACTAGACGTGGGGTGTATGGATAAATAGAAGCCCAGATAGACGATGGCAGGTGAAGAATGCTAAGGAGACAGGTCATAGACTAAGGCTGCACTTGACAGGTGACACACGTGTTGATAGGCTGGCTGATAAACGAGATGGATGTTATGGGCTGACAGACAGACTGAGGGGCAGACACGCAGACGGGGAAGTTGCCTTAGAACCAAAGGATGCCAATCGTTGGGACGGCTCACAGCCTTATTTTCTATTTAGTCAAATAATAACGTGCGCAGGTGATCCGCGCTCCCTGTTCAAGGTTTGAAAATGCCCGGAAACTGACGGAAAGACACGAGGAGTCAGACTCTGGGTACTACCCGAGGGAACAACTCGGGGCTCGCCGGGCCTCGGGTGTTGCCGGAAATGGCCGACGACCGCCGTGGGCCGCGGGGCGGGACGGGGGCGTGGCCGGCTCACTGCACGCGGTGCCACTTCGGGTGTTTCCGGAAACCGCGGCGAGCCAGCTTGAAGTGGGCGGGGAAAGGCCTATGGGCGTGGCTGGAGTCTCCCGAGTAGCTTCGTAGATTTCCGTAAGCAGAGCCGAAGCTTGGGCTTCGGAATCGAGGCGGCGCGCGCGTCCGCGGGGTTTACCTTCTTCGGGTGTTTCCGGAATTCACCCGTAATCCGCGGCCGAGAGGAGGAGGCGCGCCCCCCTCCCGTTCCTCGCCGCTTCGGAGGTTTCCGGCTGGTGCCGGCGGAAAGAGCCGAGGGCCGGCGGTGGTGGCGGCCATGTTGGGAGCAGCAGGTCCGGCGGCGGCTGCCTGTGTGCCGGGCGCGGAGCAGTGCCGCTGAGGGCAGGGGAGGAGCGAGGCAGGCGGCCGGCTGCGGCGGCAGAGAGTAGGCGGAGCGGCGCGGCCCGGCCGAAAGGCGGCACAGCCCAGCCGGGGGTCGGGGGGGTGCGGTCCGGAGCCGCTCGGAGCCGGCGCGGCCTAGCCCGAGCGGCGCATCCCCGGGCTGGCGTGAGCGGCTGCCCGGCCTCCCCGCACCCCCGGCCGGGGCCCATGCGGCGGGTGCCCCTGCTGTGAGAAGCCCCGCCCGGCCGGGCTCCGCGCCTTCCCTTCCCTCCCTTCCTCCAAGCTTCTCGGTTCCCTCCCCTGAGATACCGGCGCCATGTCCAGTGCCCGGACCCCCCTACCCACGCTGAACGAGAGGGACACGGAGCAGGTAAGGAGCCCCGAGGGCTCCCCGAATTCTCTGGCTGGGCCCCTGCACCTTGCAGAGCCTCCTCCCTCCTCTGCTCTCCTCGTGTCCCTGCTGCCACCCTGCAAGCCTCGGCTGCCCTGTCATCTGGCTCTCGGCCTCGCACATCTCCCTCTGAGTCCTGTCCTGGGACCCACCTCGTCCTGACTCCAAGCTGCACACTTGTCTTTTCTGCTGACACCCCCCCCCCCTCCCCTCACCGCCCTCCTGCGCTCTTCCGTGTTACCTCCCTAGCTTCCCCTTCTCTTCCCTTTTTCTCTCAGGGGCCTTTCTGTTCTTCCTCCACCCACGCTTAAAGCCGCCACCCTCCTGCTCCTCGAATAGCACCCCGCGATTTGCCCCAGATCGTTGTCCACCTCTTCCTCCATCTCTGTAGCCTTGCTTCTCCTCCTCCCGCACCGGTTCTCCCAGTCCCTGGTTATCACCCTCACGGTCCTTGCCCCGGAGTGTGTTCTCGATCCCTATCCCCTTCCAGTAACCCAGCTTTTTTTTTTTTTTTTTTTTAACCCTCTTCTCCAAATTGTGCTCTCCCTCATGCTTGCAACCCACCAGCTCCACCCTCATCACCTTTCCAAATGGTTCGCCTACTCTTTGCTCGTCACTTTCCCTGCTTTTCTCCAGGAGCTCCCTGGTGCCTCGCGCTGGCATTTGTTGCTTCCGTGTTTCCCATCCTGCTGTCATGCGCAGAGTTTCCCACAGGTTGTCTTTGGGGTTCCAGTCTGAAGGATTCCCTTCAGAGTCCGGATCCCTCGCGTTCTGTTCCCCTCAGGTTTGGTTTAAGTCTCCGGGCTTTCTGTTTTCTCACTGAGTGCTTTACCAGCCTGCTCCCTGGACTCCCTACCGAGGGAGAACATTCTCCCAGCCGCATTCTGTCCGTACCACCTGTTGCTGAGTCCTTCCCCCCCCCCCCCAATCACGCTCCCTCGCCATCCTTGCCTTTCTGTCTTCTCACACTGCAACACAAACCATGATGCCTTCCTGTGTCTTCACTCCTGGCTCTGTCACTTTTCATAGTTTCTTCCTCCTTGCTTGGTGCCTTCCGGTTTCTCTACCCTCACCCAGTCTTCCTTGCTCTGCCTCTTAACCAGGGTTGCCTTTCATCTCCGGATTAGTGTCTTCTTGCCTTCTTCACATCGTATTTTTTTGCTCCACACATGCCCCTGTCCGTTCCCTCCCCGATTGGCTTGTGTTGTAACTCCCCGTCCAGACACTCGGCGTACTAGTTTCTTGAGCTACACAGCCCGCCCCCCCCCCCCCGCCCTGTCCTGGCAATCACTGCTATCATCTGTCACCCAGGCTTTAGCGTTTTCTGTCACCTCACCTGTGAGCTGAGAGGCGTCCACTTTCCACCCCTCCCCTCTCTTTCACCGCATCCCGAGTCCATGGCTGACTGCTGACCGCTCTGGGGAGAGTCCCCTGCCTGGCACACCCTTGTCGGTGGAGAACTTTCCTAGGCCAGAAAAACTTGACTTGAAAAAGGAGCTCTTCACCCCTGGGGCTGCAGCGCCTTTCTGCATCCTCTCCCTTATGACATCCTTTATGTTTTCCTCTCATTCCACTCTTTCTTCGTAGCTCAGTAGAACCGTTGTTCTATTCTCTTGCATGTTCACATCCTTCCCTGGAAAATCTGCCCTCGTTGAGTTTTCCTGCGTTTTTCTCTTGTGTCACCCGCCCTCACTCTCTGTCACCTGGGCAGTCAGGAACTCAGGAGGAGTTCTGGCCCGAGTTTTCCTCTGCACCGGTTGACCCTTTTGTTGCTGATGGATTGATTGCTTCTGGGGGTGAAACGAGTTGGGAGAGAGGGCCGGTGGATGTCTGTTTCATCACTGGGTTTTGCAGCTGGCTCTGGATGGGCCTGAGGTCTTTGGAAACCGGAGCGTGGTCTGCATGTCCCAGTCTTGCCCTCACTTGCCAGCTGTTTCTCTCCTTGCTGGGAACCGCTTTTCCTAGGCCCTCCTGAGGTGGCCTGTTCCATTCCTTTTCCCATCACGGCCTTTGTCTTAGCAGGTAAACCCTGCTTAACGGGAGAACTTTCCCAGACTGTTGATTATGAGCTGGTTGGAGGAGGCCAAGTGACTGACTGACATCCTCAGGCATGTGGGGCGTGGCGGTGGAGTGCCTACTCTCTTCCCCGAGGCTGGGGGGCGGGGTGGGGGGGTGGGCATTGTGTTCAGCCGAGTAGGGTAACAGACTGCCTCAATGTGGTTTCTTTGTGCTGGTTACTAAATGTAAATGTATTCTCGCCATGGTCTTTTTCTTGTGATGTGTGCATTGATTTCTCTTCCCTCCATGGCTCGCAGACTGCTGAGCGCGTAGTAGGAAGTCGGTGCACACCCATTGATTTTATGAGCGCAGTAATCGGGTGAACCATTTGGGAATGCAAGCTGCGCTTTGATAACTTTGTCTGGAGCAGTGGCTGCATACTTTGTCATCCTGTTCCAAATTATGAATTACTCATCCCGTTTGCACTCTTTATGGACTTAGGTTCCCCTGAGCCACTTCATCGCTTCTGCTGGTGTTTTCAAGGTAGCCAGTCATGCTATTTACTTGATGCTAAGTCTGGTCCCAGTAAAAGCACAGCCATTGGAAAAGCTTGGATACACCTACCACAGGCAGATGCCTGTATTTTTCAAAACAAGGGAAAAGACAAGTCGCAGCCCTTCTGGTCACAAGGCCAGGGATGCCAGAAGCATCGGCCTCCTTTAAAGAGTAGATGATGCCACCAGGTAAGACCAAGAAAGCTCTTGGTTCTGTTGTGATTCTAGTCGAAGTAGTCCCGGAAGTTCAGTCATTGCAGTAAGCTGTAATGTTATGAAATAAAAAGCAAGGGATTTGGTTGGGCTGATTCCTTCCCCCCAAAGATGCTCTATCACTGTATTTAGGTTTAAATTATTTAAACTGGTTTCACCTGGAAATACGTAAGCAAACTCTCCTAGTTGTCTTCAAGCTCCGACTTCTTTTTTGCCATTCCTCTCCCCCTTTCTTTATTAAAAAATGTGGCTGATGGGAAGCTGTTTCCAGGAGCTCTTTGATCACATCTGAATTAAACACACATAACACATACACAAACGGAAAATGTGGAAGCATAAAAATAAACCTTGTGTTGCAGGAAGAGTGCCTGTTTGCTGTCGACTCTGCTCCTCACAGTGAAAGTGGGAGATAAAAGAAAGTCAAGCCCTGTCTCTAAGATGGTTTTTGTTGACACCTGGTTGCAGATGTGCTTTCTCACAGCCATAGACTCTTTCATTTGCAGGAGGGTTGTGACCTTGGCTGGTAGTTTTGGGGATTCTCAGTCTGCAAGCTGAGCTTTCTGTCCACTTCTTTTCCAAATGGCTCTGCTGGCCTGGAGTCTTGGCTGTGGTGAAAGCAATCAGCAAGATGACTGTTTGTCTTCCAGCCAGGGGCAGCAGTAATAGGCAAGTGCGGAGAGGGGTCCAACTTCCAGAGTTCTGCTGCTTGGCCAGAGCTTCCTGTAGCACCTGGTAGAGGGCCTATGTGGCTTCAGACCTGCCTCACCCTTGGGCCTCAGGAACCAGGACGGAGGGCTTCTGATGGAAAGCAGGAGCCTTTCACTACCAGCCCCACTTCAGCTGCAGTGGGCAAGGGAGGGGGTTGCTGTCATTCTGGGGAGTGAGTGGCATTGTTTATTCTTTTGGGTGGTTCTGGGAAGAAGAGTGTGGAAGTCTGGCTGAAGTGAGCAAATCTAACTTATAGAATCCTGTAAAGAGCAACTGAGCCGCTCCAAACACGCATCCCTTGGATGCCAGTGTTGATTCTGGCTGAATGTTGCATTGAATAATTTGGTTTTAGTGTTGACTCTAGTAGAGAGCTCTCATTTCTCTCCATGTCCCGGGAGCTATGCGGCACAGTGCTCTGGGTACAGACTCCCGACTTCTGCCCTTTGACTCTGACCAAGGGCTCCTTAGTGGTGCTGCCTTCTGGTCAGAGGTGTGGGTGGATGACATTCTCACTTCCTGCATGGCCCTAGAAATTAGAATGAGGCCTTGTTAGAGCAAGGGCTTTAGGAGTCAGGAGTTCACAGAGTTGCTCACCATACCATAGTCTTTGAACCCAGTAAAGGTAACTAACTAGTACTTGTAATAATTTCTCTAATCTGTGGCTTTGGGAAGTAGCTAAACAGATGGATACAGGACAGTCCTTGAAACTTGGACTGCTTTAGATTAAAATCAAGTTTGCCCAGGGAATGACTGCATCTTTCAGATGGTGACCAAAGATTGGGCCTGAGATTCTTTTCACTGTCGGTGTCTTAACTGATGCCTATGAGATAGGAAAAAATTGAGAATTTGCCTGAGAGGTTTGCATGGTTAGATCTCTTGGAAGTCAGAAACTTCTCCGACTAGACACTTTCCCCTTTGGACAGAACAACCCAATTCTCAGTGGGCATTTCACCAGGACTAACCCGTGCCTCCGTGAACTCTTTCCCATTGTGCACTTAGCCACCTGGCTGGCCTTTCTCTTCTCCCAGGAGCTTCCATGACTTTCCTACATATGTATTATGTCAACTG